ACCCCCCCCCCCCCCCCCCCCCCCCGCTGCTAATGGGTGTCCTCTAGTGATGTCACTAAAATGCATGGCATCTAATGAAAAGGCTACCTTATTTGAGCACCGGCCGTTCTGGCTGTTTGGACGTTCAATTTAGACCGGTGGCGTGATGATTGTCTTGATTTCAAACGAGGCATATGGAGGTAGGCGCGTGAAATGTACGTATGTTTTAAGCAGCCTCTACAGCCACCCTGTGCGAGAATCAACGATTTGTGGTTTCCCCGAAGCCTTCCGGCTGGTCTTTTGTCTCTCGTGTGCGTTTTCTGCTCTTACTGTTTTTTCAAAACCAGTCAACATCAAAATTGGTTGTCTTCAGTCCTTTAAGAGTCTTATCCTGAACGTTCTGAGGCAAATATTACTATTTACCGTATACTCACGAATTCCCGACGAAAGCTGTAGATGCTGTTGGACGTTACTACTGGTAGGATAGCAGCGACCAACTCCCGAGAGTGCAAGGATGGAAACGTGTGATGTGGAAAACGAAACCTGGAGCTGTCTTGCCGGGTGGTACGTACCGCTGTATTTTCCGATTGTCGGATAATGCTCCCCGCCCCAAGAAAACACGCCAAAGGGCAGAAACAAAATGTTGACATCATGTTGTGAAGTAGCACAGGAGAGATCTCCCCGTTTGTCTTGAATTCCACCCCCGAATAGAGTTCCCTGGGTTGCTAAGATACCGCACGCCCTGGACCGATCCTTAAAAGCTAGGATACTATTCATCAACACCGGCGACGGTGTGCCGAAAATGGTGGCCTTGGAACCGTCTTGTCTTCAGTCCTTTCCGACCATGTTTTTTGTTTTGGCACCCTCTGCAATCGACCAGGATGACCCTCGGAGAAGAAGGCGAATCGTGGTGTGTTCACCCACTGAAGACAGGAGAGGCACACACCGACACGGTGGAAGAGCGGCGAGACACGGCCCCGCTTCTTGCGACGTGGCCTTTCTAGCACACCCGGGGGTCCTCCTTTCCACATTCGCGCGTTGGATGCCGGCAAAGCGGCCCTTGCGTAGGTGAGGGAGCGGACGTGAAAGGGGGCGGACGGGTGCAGAACAAGCGGGGCTGGCAGAAGGGGGGGGGGTCTTGACCGCGCGCGCCTGCTTGGAGCTGGCCTTCCAACAAACAGCCTTTGTCGTTGCCCTCCGCGTGAGGCTGTGTGTCGTGTTTACTCCGATGTAATCTGTGCTGTGTGGTTGCCACACGCTGTTGTGCTGCGTCTGAACATGTGTGCGGAGTCGGTGCAAAGAAGGCAGGTAGATGTGATGTTGTGCTAAGTACTGCACGGCCAGGTGTGTATGCTGCCGCGGCAAAGTATCGTGCCAAAATTACGGACCTGTGCATTACTGCTGCTACTGCTTTGTTGTTGTCGCCAAGTCGCCGGCTGCAAGATTATGCTGCGCCGACCTACCGTTTCTGCTGGTGCTCGTAATGTCTTTTCGATACACAGGTGGCAGGCGTCGTGGTGGATGATTCCGGCCTGGCCGGTTACCCTGCTGATAAGCTTATGGTTTATGTTTATCGCCCCGCTGCTGTCCGGGCCCTACCTCCTGGCGGACAAGTTCGAGCTTAAAGGAGTGGCCAATCAGGTGCGCAGCGTTCGTTTAGAGAGACCCTCGATCGATGCGATGACTTACGTGCAAGAAGGCTTCGCCAGTGAGGGCGAAGAGCGGTGGGAAATCGGTGGGGCTCCCGAACTAGTGTGTCAATGGGAGGTGGGAGGTCTGCAGCACGGATTGCGTCAGCGGAGACGATATTGCGGGAGGGGGAGCATGCCAAGACAACTTCGCTGTGCTACGTACACATTATGCGTGCGGAACCTTGGCCAGATAGGACGGTCGCTTCCTTGCCCTCGCAGAACTTGCCTTAGACGGACAACACAATCTCGGAGTCGGACTGATCCAGCGCGACCCTGGCGCGTGCTGTTTGTGAAACTTTGAAGGTTTGGCTGTCCCGAGCCTTCGGCTATCAGTTCATGATGAAGCTCCTGAGGCGGCGGATAGCGAGAGGAATCGAGGCGACCGTGCGGGAGGCGGATAGGGCCGGTGAGTCCTCGGCTCCGTGTTGTTTTTCTCCTTAACCCTTTTGAGTCTTCAGGCGTTCTCACTGATCATTGATTGATCATTTGCAAATGCTGGTGTAGTGGCAAGTCGTGGAGTTGCCGCCCTGCAGCCCTTCGCGCCGTGTATTGGCAAGTCCATAGGTAGGTGTGTCTAGATTATTAGCACCCGCGCTAACCGGCTGACCAATGAAGAGACTTCAGTGACAGCGGGTAATGTCAAGGTCTCAGGAATGGGAATGGGGCCAATCAATGCCAAATCATGAATCTCTCAACGTATGCACATGTCAATGAACGCGTGTGTGCATACAGTACATACATACATACATATGTGTTCTTTCGCAGCACCACACATACACTCGCCCGAACGTAGGAAGCCACTGCTGCAAAGAGCAGAGGACAGCAAAAGGGAGGGGTACTGCAGTCCCTGCCGAAGCCCAGATATCGAGGATATCGTGGTTCCCAACAATTTGAAAATCGTTCCGAAGATCCAGCAGTCATTGTGTCAACAGCTACAACGAACGCTACAACAACACTACTACTGCTGTAGACGAGTAAAACATATCAGCAACACATCCACACTCGTAGCGCCACACATACCACCCTCGCCCGAACCTAGGAAACCACGAGGTACAGGTGTGTGCTGGTGGATGTGCTTGTTGTTTGAAAAACACAGGAGCTCTAGAGAGTTGGCAGGGCACATTTCGGGGGGGGACAGAGAACAGAGAAGTACAGAAGTACAAATACCAGCTATGGGTCTTCACTGATCATTTTGCCCTCTCTGGACTGATCATTTACAATATACCGAAAATAGACTAGTTGAGGCAGCTAGACGACTGATCATTTCAAAGGCTACACAGCTAACCTGCCCTACTGACCGCAGCGCGACCACCCACCAACCCTTCTACGACCCTGTCTGTGGCCACCACCCTGTCGCCGGCTTCTCTCATGGCCTACAGGGGGAGATAGCTGTTGCGTGTGCAGAAGTACACTGGTGTCTTTCTCTGCACTTCTCTCTCTCCCGCTCGCTCTCGCTCTCATTTTTTTTTTTTGGCGCAAAAAAAAAAAATCTGACAGTCCAGCCTAGACCCAAAGGGGTTAAGGGAAGTGGCATCGTCTTAACGCGGTCAACGAAGATAATTCTATGCGTTGAATGTGTTTACAAGAACAAGGGAAAGATGCAACTGTTTTGGGAGTGGAAATGCCGTGTCCATGTCGAGAGTGGGTAGTACGGGAGCAATGTCGACGTGGTAACGATGGATCTTACGAGAAGAAACCTGTTTTGTGGGGCGGCGGAATTTCCGCACTTGGCGGAAGGCCACAATACATAGTTCCAGTGAGTATGTCACAAAGAGGTAGTACATATGCTGCTCCTGCTAGCGAGCAGAATATGTCTTACCCTACGTAGCGGCCGTGTGATGAAGGTCGGGGCGAGCGGAGAAGCCCCATCCTCTCTCGTCGTCACAGTTGATGTTGATGTCGATGACAGCTTGTTCCTTCGATGCCCTCGCGCCTGTCTTCATCAATATCCGGAGCCGTTGTCGAAGTATATATCGCGTCGATCATGATGCCCGCTTTTGTCAGGCGTTTCGGTTCTGGGGCTCGGGGCTCTGAACAAGGCGGAGTTCATCAACCGGGGTGGGGAAGACGTGCTGGACGCCTTCATGCCACGAACGACCAGGTAGACGGCACTCCTTCACACATCCGTCTGTCGTCGGTAGCGAGGAATACATCGGGGTTCTTCCTTATTAACTTTGAATACTGCGGTCCGACCGCAGGCGAACGACGTCGATCTGTGTGCCTTGATCAACTCTCGTGGTCCTGCTGAAAACAGCGGTTGTCCTTCTCGCTGATTTCACCCCCCCCCCCCCAGCCCCCCCCAGGCGCGCGGCAACCCCCCCACGGGGCCGAGACGCGGGCCAAACGCCGAAAGCCCGGGGGGCC